TACTGAGGTAGAAATGCTGTTTTATGAAGACTTCTGGATACTTGCAGTTTCTTCTTCACTCCTTAGTACTAAAAGAAATCTAGTCTTTCTTGAGTGCAGGGTGTGGGTTGTGTTTTCTTTCTTTTTTTTTTTTTCATATAAGCTCTGTTTCTCAAGCTAATAAGTTACCATACACCTTATTTAAAGTCAACCCTACCTCTGACAACTCTGCAACAGTGATCAGTAAAACTTGTATGTGTTTGAGGCATGAATCTTGCCTACTGCTCTTTTTTTAATAGGTTTGATTTGGATTTTAATCTTTAGTAATATTCTGTAAAGAAGAGACAGCCTCTAAAAGGAATGCAGTTTTAAATGCTTGGCAGAAAAAAATGCCAGTTGTCTTAAAAGACAAGAATTTCTCCCTTATTGGCCAAGAAACGTGCTGACTGTCTGAGCCTAGAAAAGAAAAAACTTTCATTCTGTATAAACTTGAATGCCTGAGTCTTGAAGAAGTGAAGGTGTTCACTGAAACTCATTTCAATATATTGACTGAAAAAAGCTTTAAAAAATTTAGCTAAATTGAAAGGGAAGTAGGAAAGAGCATTGACTTAGGATGGAATATGTAGAGCATTCATCAGGCTGGCAGAGAGTGTCAGAAGTGAGGGGGAGTTATCACTGAAATGTCAGGGAAAAATAATCCTGCTGTATTATAATGCTAAAGCAATTTAAAAATTGAGGACAAGAAGTTAGTACTAACTTGCACCTATAGAGCTTTCCCCATTATAACATTGCCGTAGAATTTTGCTACAGTAGGAGTGTGGTTTTATCAGCAAGAAATGTCCCCTGATGTTGGGGGGGGGTGGAGGGAACCCAGAGAGCAAAAATACGTCTGGTACTGTCAGCTCTCTGCTGCGGCTTGGGGTAGTTGAAAGGGGAACCCCACTCTGTGAGCCTTTGGATACTACGCCACAGCTGTACCACTGAATTAGGTCTCCCAGGATCAAGGCTTACAGATTCATCTGCCCCTTTGAGATATGCCTTGTTGTTTATACGAGTGCCTTAAATTGCACTTAACTTAAACAAGTTAAATAAAATTGGAAATTAAGAAAACGCGTATTCACAGGATCACAGAATGGTTAAGGTTGGAGGGGACCTCTGGAGATCATCTAGTCCAACCCCCCTGCTCAAGCAGGGTCACCTAGAGCACGTTGTCCAGGATTGTGTCCAGATGGCTTTTGAATATCTCTAAGGAAGGAGGCTCCACAACCTGTTCCTGGGTAACCTGTTTCAAGGCTCTGTCGCCCTCGCAGTAAGGAAGTTTTTCCTCATGTTCAGACAGAACTTCCAGTGTTTCAGTTTGTGCCCGTTGCCTCTTGTCCTGTTGCTGGGCACCACTGAGAAGAGACTGGCCTCATCCTCTTGACACCCTCCCTTCAGACACTTGTACACATTGATGAGATCCCCCGCCCCACTCTTCTCTTCTCCAGTCTAAACAGTCCCAGCTTTCCCTGTCTTTCCTCAGTGGAGAGATGGTCCTGGGCAGTGTGTTCTAGGTGACTCTGTTTGAACAGGGGGATTGGACATGATGATCTCCAGAGGTTCCTTCCAACCTCAACTGTTTTGTGATTCTGTATTCGAACTGGTCCTGTACAAAATGTATTCCATGTTTGCTAACCCACCTTCCTGGTGCCAGTACCTTCACTCTCTCTGAGTTTGTCTAAATGACAATATATGGGATGTTTGATCTATAGCAATGTGTTAGTTGGTTGCACCATCTGCATATGATGCTTGTCTGCAATATCATACAGTGTATAAGAAACTGAGTTCTGACTGCTTTAGCTCCAAGGCAGGTTATTCTCTATCTAGCTGACAATTTTTGAAACTTTCTCCTTTTAAAACCTATATTTCTCTAAAATTTAGTTGAAACTGGACATCCAGTTCAAAATGGATGGTGACAAAGTGGTGACAGTAAATGGTGAGACAAACAGGGCATTTCATCTGCATTTTTCCTTTGGAAACTGGTTTAAAACATGATCGATGAGGAGCTACTACTGTTTATTTCAGCTCACGTGAAATATTTAGTTGGTTTAGAACATTCAACCAAGATATGGGAAACCCCTACTGAGTTTCAGTTTCCTGTTCTGCAGGATAGAGCACTCTCAAGCCCTGCTATCTTTAGGTGTTTCACATCTTAGGAAAGTTGCAGATTTGTTTGACTAGCAGACACATTGTGTTTTAAAATCTATGCCTAGTAATCTCCATTGTTGTTGTACCCATTTTTAAGCTGTGGCTTTACCCTTGCCTGCTTGACAGGTAGCTGATTCCTAGAGAATGTCATTCAGATAGGATGGGGTGCTCCCAGAAACATAGACAAGGAAGTCCCTCCTTAAGAAGAAATGAGATGTTGCTAATACAAGTCCTCAATGCAGCTATTGTCTATTTTCGTTTTGTTGTTGTCTTATTTTTTTCAAGTTATTTGAAGATACTATTATTTCTTTTTCTTTTTCAAAAGATATGATAGTCATTTTACAGGTAATGCAAACCAAAGGGAACATATTCTATATAAATTCTTGATTATGACCTTCTTGATTATGATTATTGACTTCATTATGACAGCTGTAATTAGTTTTATAAAATAGTATAAGTGATAAGGCTTTTCAAATGAAAATTTCTTAAATGTCATACTGTTTGGATAACTTTTTTTCCTTATGTATGTTGCTAAAGCCTTTCTGTTCCTGTTCTTCATAGACTCATGCATGTGCTTTAAATATTATGAATAGTCAGAATCCTATGGGACTTTTGGTAGCAAGTCTGACATAAGTCTTTGCAAGACTGTGACCCAAGAACTTCTTATACTTAATTCCCAGAATAGTCACATTCACTGTATATGTCAGGGGGTCATCAGCATATGGCACAGAAGCCAAAGATGACACATCAACTAGATTTTTTGAATGCTGCAGAATGGCTGTCTGTATAAGGCAACAGATTCTAACTCCTACTACATTTCTTCCAGCGTACTCAGACATTACTTTGAGAATAAATACATGGTTTTTTAGTGTTTGCTGAAGCATCTGCAGATTCTTATTTTCTTCCCTGTGGAAACAGGAATATCATGTTAATGGATGTATTTGGCTCATCTGCAAGGAGGTGGATGCACGCCTGTCTAAATCCAGGCATGTTATAATCAGCAGAGCTTTTAGAGGGCAGTAACAGTGTACTATTTCCAAATAGCCCTTCAGAGGCTTAATTAGCCAAAGGACTTGAAGTTAGGTACCAGAGGTCAAACGAGCTAAATACACTCCACTCTCTTAACAGTATTACATCATAGTGCTACTAACTGTTAGTATGGTAACTGTAGTTACAGTTAATAACAATACTGTAACCCACTAATAACACTATAATTAGTAAAACAATCTTCAATTCAGTTTAGGCCATTCAGTTTGAAAGCTTCTTGAAACAAAATATGCAGGTACTGTATTTGACATGAAAGCTATAGAGAAGCTTTTCAGAATCACTCCTAACCTGAAATGAGTATTACGTCCTCAATTTTGACATCCATTTCTTTCCTGTTCTGTAAATTGGTTGAGCAAAGGATGATTCTTTGACGCGTGTAGTATCTTGGCAGAATTTATGTAATGTGTCAGCCTTCAAATACGACCAACGTATACGAAGGATAGATTTTGGTAGCAGATAAGCAATATAGGTGCTAAGAACTAACAGCAAAAATGGCTTTCATATGTGTTACTTCTGTTAAATAGACCTTCCTCAATGTGGCACAGATACAGTTAGTCATTTAAATCAATACACAGCATAACGCTTTCCAGTTTTTGATAAATATTGTGAGTGATGATCAATGGGTTTTTATATTCTATACATATACATATATAGATTTATATATATTAAATAATCTTATGTTTGCTTTGGACAGAGTTCTCAGCCAGGTAAGTTTACTTAATTTTTTTTTAACACTTCCCAGCCAACAGATATAAATATGAAAACTCATTGATTTTTAGTAGTAATAGTAGTAGTATTGATTTTCGTCTAAAGGTCTTAAAATGCATTATATACTATCTACAGTAGTCTTTCCAGGTGTTTTTATTTTGAAGGTGATCAGGTATTTCTTCAGGTTCACATGTTGTGACCACTTGAGAGCAAAAATGGAGTAGGTGTTTCTGAATTGTTCAATAATTGGTTACACACATGTCTTCAGACATGCTAGAGGGGCTTAATTTTTTTATTGCTGCCCTCCAATCCAATTTCTCTTTGCCTGTTAATAGTGGGATATCTTTAATTTTTGAAAACTGTGACGTTTGGAAAAGGTATATATGGTAGATCTAGCCCTTCAAATAACTCAGCTAGCCTACTGCCTATTTACTGACACCTTCTTACTTTGTGACCTCAAGGCTTCTTTCCATCATGCTACCAAAATTCAGGTGTTCCATCATCATATGAGCCAACCTGCAGTAGTCATGCCATGTGGGCTACATTTTGGCCACATGCTAGATGTGCTCTGACTCACACAACACAAGAAGTGTCTTGGTTTAACTTAAAAGAGAAAAGTGACCTATGATGATTAGCTTTGGTGAGAATAGATGGGAAGATGCTAAAAAGTTATCATCTGTTACCCTATAGTAAACATGGATTAACACTTTCAAATGTGATAAGTGATTTTGGCTGTGGGTTTTGGATAAGCTACTCTTAAAGAGGCATGCTCCTTTCCTTTGTTTCCTTTTTTTTTTTTTTTTTTTTTTTAGGAGTCGCAAAGAATTTACCTTCCTAAAATCATATTCCTTTTGAGTGTTTGAACTTTGGAACCCAAAAGCTTGTGCAATCCAAAATTACAGGTCTTGTTGTAAGCCTTGGCCACATCCTAAAATGTATTTGTGTGTGTGTGTGTGCTTGCTTTGGTATTGCATTTGGCCTGAACACTGAGACATTTACCAAAGTTTTAGTTCATTTACTTTTGTATTGTGAAGTCTTTCTGGATGTTTTATTTGCTGTATTTGCGCCTTGTTTTACAGGAGACACATGAAATTGTGGCTATCAAGAAATTCAAAGACAGTGAAGGTAACTTTTTCTCTCCTATGTAATCTTTTTTTGTCAACAACTATGCTGTTAATATCTCTCCAGTTAAATAAGAAGTCTCTCATATCAAGACATGATTTAAAAATGATAATGATGTATTAGCTCTGAGTATTCAAGGCCCTTGATGCTTCATACCTGCCTAGAGACTGCATTATACACTCCAACTAGATAAAATTACCAATTCCTTTCTTGGTGCATCCATGTGAACGTTGCTCGGATTGTGGTTCCATGCAGTATAGTAAGCCCTGTCACTCGGAGAGTAGATGTGATCAGAGAGTGGCAAAAACCACTCTTGTAGAACTGGCTTGAGGCGTCTTACTAATTTAAACAAAAACGAACTTCACCACCATTTATTTGTGGGAAAGGATTTTAATTAAATATTTGGCATTGAAGTGATTTTGTTGGAAAGGAGGACTTGAAGGGATAAATGGAGGAGACGCAGAGTCGCTGAGAAGTTCTATGGGAGTTTTCAGGGATCTATGGGAGTCTTTGAGGGAACGGCGTAAAACAGCAGTTCTGCTCTCCCTTCAGCTGGCTTCATTCTCTCACAGGACACTCCTCTCAGCAGCCTCTATATACTGTCCAGCGTCAGTGAGATTGCTGAGGAGGGTAAAGAGCTAACTCCTGCAAGGCTTACTGTTGCTAGCAAAGAGGGTGGTAGAAGGCAGGACCCGTGGAAGCTATTGCTAGTGCTGCCCATGCCCCGCTCTGCATTTGGCATTGGTAAAAGTAAAGGTCTGGCTCTAACCTGCGCTTGTTGCTGGAATAGTCAATCCCAGTATCCTATCATAGGCAAAACTGGCAATCGGCCACTGCAGGCAGCTATCTACCTTGCAAATATGTCAGAGCTTAACTCTGATCTCTGATGGACCAACACAAACAGAATGAGAAGCCAAGTGTGAAGTAATAGAGGAGTAATCCTGGACTGAGGCAATGCAGCTATGATTTTCCATATACTATGGCTTGAACTAAAAGCTCAGGATTGTTCTAGTGATGTATTTAAAGAAATAGCAGCGTTTTATTTTAGCAAACTTTTCTTTTTTGGTCTTGTTATGGGATTGCTGATGGCCATGGGAGATACGGTTGGCTACAAGGACTTCAATTGTTCAGGGTTCGCTGGACACAGTAAAGTCAACTTTGCCTCTGTTATTTCTGCAGTGCAAACTCTGTTTTGCAGCTGATGTTGCCAGACACTTGAAGGGTGTATTTGATAAATCTTTTAATTCTGCTGTTTAGAAATTTGTTTTAATCCGCAGTTAAAGAACATGGGGGAGTACTGAATTGTGGTGATCCTCTCAAGCAGGTCATGAGAGTACTTTGGAATTGCTTTTTGGTACTTGATCTGGCTGTTCAGGATAGATTCTAACCAATGAATCTCAGTATCAAGCCTCTAACAGGATGAATATTTTAGCTGTTCTGTTAAAAACAAAACAAAAGCAGCATTGCCATTAGCTATGACTTGCCAACAGTATTACGTAATATCAGTTTGCATGACTGATGACTACTTTTCAAAGCTGTAGCTAGTTGTTTACAAGTTTTAGTAAATGTGATAGAAGCTCTTTGCATGGATTTGATTCAGTCCATTTAACATCTGTCTTGTTAATAGGGTAGTTCATTAAAAACTGAATATATTGTAATTGTTTCTATTGCCTTTTTTGTTTCACTGAATTTTTGTTGTTGTTTAATATATGAATGCTAAATACACTGGGAAGAGAGGGTCTAGTTTTAGAAGAAAGTATGTAATCAGGTTGACTCAAGCCAACACCAAACACACTGCTCTAAAATCAGATGATTTAGATTGCTCTAAATTATGTATTTTTTTAATCAAAACATTTGTGATGGTAGTAGAATTTTTTTCCTCCCTCTTCCTCCTGTCTTTCAATTTTTTTTCTTTCTTCTGATGATGATTGTGTGTGTTTGTATGACTTACGCTATTCCCTCTCCCCTGCAAATCTCTTGTTGCCTTTTGCTTGCTTGGAAAAACAATTTCCTTTCCTTTTCTTTTCTTCCGCTGTCTGCATGTGCCTGGGCAAATTCACTGAATTAATGGATTTCATTTTACTAAATGAAGAATGCAAACTAATTTAATCTGTTTTACTTGACATTTCTTTCGTTGTATCATATAGAACCCAACCAGTTCAGGGCTCCTTGGTGATGAGAAGTTTACAAAGTTTTAGTAAAACACAACTTTCTTGAACAACTTTCAGATAACTAAGCTGTCACAGCATTAGTTGAATTTCTTGACTCCTTAGAATCACAGATTCGAGGCTTCATTGAATCAGTGCTTGCTCTGCTGCCTTCTGTGGCTGCTGCAGTGATCTGCTTGCTGAATTTGCTCTAAAAGCCTTCTGTGAAAAGCTTACAAGACATAAAAATTGTGTTTATGTCATAAAACTTGTCATGGCTATTGAGGGATAAAGTTATTTTGAGAATGCAATTGATTTGTCTTTAATATTGACCAAAGATCAGCTCTCCATTCCAGTGCCTCTGCCAAGGGCCTCAGCAGTGCTTCGTCCATGTGATATGTATGCCTGGGGTGGGGGAGGTGTCTGTAGACATATGCTTCCAAAAAATATGCACGTATATTCCATTTTTTTCATTCTGAAGAGCAGTAAATGCAAATGATTATTTCTTATCACGTTTTCTGCTACTGGAAGCCTAGATGGTAGTGAAGGGAAGTCTGTCAAGGTTACATGAGGAGCCCAGTCATCGTGTACCCCTCTTGCAATACAGAAGGCACCCAAGCAGCAGAAAGAGACCATGTTGGAAAATGAGCCTTCTTCTCTGTAATATTCAGTGACAGCGATTTTAATTGGAGGTTCAAATAAAATAGTCATAACATTTGTTACTAAGGTTTTTTTATTTTCTCAGAAGTTTTAATCTGTCACTTTTACTTTGCACTGTAGAAAATGAAGAAGTCAAAGAAACCACTTTACGAGAGCTTAAAATGCTTCGCACTTTGAAACAGGAGAACATAGTGGAGCTGAAGGAAGCCTTCAGAAGAAGAGGAAAATTATACTTAGTTTTTGAATATGTGGAAAAAGTGAGTTGAGTTTGTACTATCCTTTCAACAATTAAATCATCAGCTTACTGAAAAAGTCTTTAAAATTACTTCTAAAAATGGCACTATTCTAAAGTAAAAAGAAGAATAGCAGAAGTTGTTCTGAACTCAAAATTTTATAGTTGGACCTATATTATTAGAAAAAAAAACAATAATAAAGTTATTGGTGTTGATGTCATGTGTTGTACTTCTAGTTGTTATTCCTGAATAGCTTGAAAAAAATTCTTCCATATATGAATACAAACACATTCCAGTTACATAGACTGGAATATATATCGTCTGAAAAAATAATTCCATGTGAACTCGATAGTCCAGTTTAATTGTAAAGCTGGTTAAACGTCCTGCGTTGTGTAATGAATCTTGACATGGTCTTTCAGAACAAGGTCATAGATTTCTCACCATGTTTCTGACCATCTGTTGCAACTTTACTTATCCGCCCGTTAAAAATAAGATTTCTGTTTCTATTTTTCTATAACAAGTTCAGTGTCAGTAGTTCCTTAGAGGGATTTGGCAAAGGTCACTATCCTTATTTCGAATCCTGACCTCATTTGAACCCATTCCAAAATTTTCTTAGCTTGGCCTACTACTGCCAAGCGTCCTGGTCTGTTTCCAGGGAGAAACAATGTAGAACACATTGGTCTTCCATTATTTTTGCAGCCTTTATGGCCACAGTAAACCTTACTTTTGTAGTCTTAAGCATTTAATATTTTTTCGTGAAAATAACTAGATGGTATTCAGTTACATAAGGTAAAACTATATGCAGTCATAAAAATATATGTATGTAGCTTTCATCAGGTGTTGTTCTCCTGATTGAAAATCTCATTTAATATCAAAGTGATGTTGCAGGGCTGCAGAGTGCTAGTTCTGTTCAGTCAGTTGTCCCTTATGTGTAAGGATATCTCGCCCTAAATATTGTGTCTCCTTACCTTAGTTTATAATTGAATATGTGGTACCATTTCATTCCACAATGTGAGGCGACTTATGCTATGACGTAGTCTGGCAGAAATCAGTTGCGTGTTGCACCAGCAGATCCGCAGCTTCTAACGTGGTAGATCTTACTTAGCCCTAACACCCAAAGCTTATCTTACTCTACCTGGGTTTCCTGTGATTGGTCCAGACTTGTGCAGTGTCTTTGATCACATACAAACTAGAACACGTGTTTAATCTTGTGTTATTGTTGACTTGGCTGAGTTAACTCTAGCAGTGGTTTGGAAGATCACCATAAGGAAAAAAAAAAAAAAGTTTAATTGATCTAATAAGGGTATATTTCAAAAAAAAGTTAATATTTGTTAGGTAAATAGAGCAAGCTGCAATATCTCACATTATTTGCATCAGAACAAAAGAATACAATGCTAAAGATAGACATGCCTGTGCATAATACCATTTCTGTTTCAGTGGTCATCTTTATTTTCAGCTAAACTTCACAGTCTGTGGATGTTTCTCATTTTCAGATGTGTAAAATAGCTTCCACAGCTCCTTATAGATGCCTTTCAAGACCACAGTAATTTCTGTATCTTTGAATGAGGAATGGTGAAAATAATTAAATAAAATATGGTACAGTAGGCTAACTTTTGTTTTAACTGATTATGAGTGCCTTTTGTCCTTTAAGGAATCTTAGTTCTGCAATACCCAAATCCAGATTACTTAAATTAACATTTAGTCTAATCTCCTTTATCCATCATCCCCTTAGTTAATATCTTCACACAGGATTATGTCTCACTATGTTGGTTCTACTATTCTGGTTCGTGTTTATAACCCTAATTTCCTGACTAATTTATCCAGAACTACAGGCCTCAGTGTGGACAAGAGTCTAACTAAAACCAATGTTGTTTCCTAACAGAAAATTCTTCTTCTCAGATCTGAAGTGTATTTCTAAGGAAACTTGCACTCAAATACATAAGTTCTAGGATTTATTGGCAGGCTGCAAAACTTGACTATTTTTTGAAATATTAGCAAACGTTCCGTTTGTTTTGTCTCGTTCTTGTGTTCATTAAAATATCTTGGAAGAAAAAACCTCAAAAATATGTTATACAGTTAAAATATTTGTCAAAGGTGAGGTAAATTTATGTTAAATTAAAAAATCTATATAAATGTCCAAATTCAAAATTAAATAAGCTGTATAAAACAATATAGCCAAAATACTTATTTTTCAGAATTCAGTAAATAAGGCTCTTTTCTGTCTTCTAGTGGGCTGCTGCTGCCCAGTATTCATTCAGTTAGGATTTAGAGTAGACTAAACTCCATTGTACTTCTAAGTGTGCAAAATTGGAGACATTTTCTAGCATAATGGAAATCTAAAGGTCCTATTCAAAGAGGAAATTCAGCAGTCTAAACAATTAAGTTAGTTTAGTTTTTTCCGATGTCTATCCATAAAATAGTTAATATTGGCATCGTTACTGTAGCGCAAAGATATGTAAGATCAATATATCTGCTACATATAGCTTTAGGGTACTCCCTAGGGTACTATTTATGGCCATATGAGGCATTTTTATATCTTTATTATTTCATTCACACTGATAGGTTTCTACCCAGCTATGTGAAAGCAGTAGAACTAACTTAAAAATTAAGAAAACAGTATGTTAAAGCATAGTAGGATATTTACAAATCCTGTTGTCTGCTAAACTTTACATATAGCAACACTGAGCTGGAGTTTCTGTTTAAGCAATCTTTTGTAAGTAAATGAATTTTTAGAAATTTTAGTCCAAGTGGTCTGATGACAGAGTTTTAAGAGTCCTAGAGTACATTTGTGATTCACCTGTAAGGAATATTGTCTTCACAAGTGCTTTCTCTAGAATGAAAACAGCTTAATAGTTTGTGTATAATTAAAATAAACTCATTGAATGTTAAACTGGTTTTCATAGCCAGACTCACTGGCATAAGTATGTCGCTTTAGTATGTTGAAGACATGTTAATCTGGCTACTACAGTATATGTATTTTAAATAATGTCTTTTAAACACTTAGAATATGCTTGAATTGCTAGAAGAAATGCCAAATGGAGTTCCACCAGAAAAAGTGAAAAGCTATATCTACCAGCTAATTAAAGCAATTCACTGGTGTCATAAGAATGATATTGTTCATAGAGGTAAGTTTGTAGTTTTATATATAGAATTGAGCCCCTAGTAGAAATTTACTTTACTATGGGGAAAGATGTTATAGCTTGAATTAATTTGCATTGATGTAAATATATGTACTTACTTTACGTATAGGAAAAGAAAATGTTTGAATTTGGCTGGGTGTTAAGCCTGCCAAGCTTCAGGTCACTTTAAAACAAAGTTTATCTACCTATAAAGCTGGTTTTCCACTGGTATCTTTGGCATATAAGTAGAGATTGCATCATATGCACAGTGAAGCAAAACTACATAACAGACATTACCAAGAAAAGACACTGTTATAATGTTTCATGGCAGTCAGTCATTTCACTTTTGAACCTAATAATAAAATATTAGGAGAACGGTAACGCAGAACTTAAAGCTTGGTCATCTGCACTTACCTTTTGTATAGGACAGTTGTTCCAAACTCCCATGAGTTCAACTCTGTATGTGTACTTTCCTCCTCGATTTCAAACACTTATAATGCGTATCTTGACGTGTGAGTTTATCTAGTTTTATTTATATTATCCTCGTTCAGTAAAACCTTATTCTGCTTTATGACTTTGCAAGAGTAACACACCTCACATATGAGAATTTTCATCTATTGGAAACATTCAGTGTACTATTTGTATTTGAGATTGATCAAAAACAGGCAAGACTCTGTAAATATTTTGTGAAATGTAGTTTGAAGAAATACAGCTTATACAAATACCACAATATCCATATAGGAATAAAAAACAGGCTTGTGAAACTAGAGGATATGCGTTTTCTAAAGAAACGGCAAGAGGTGCCCCAAAAGGTCTGAAAGATAGTGAGTGCACACAGTTAATGTTTTACTGGTTAACTGGGTAATTAAATCCAGTTCTATGTATTACCTTGCAATATGCAAATTCTGCATATTTTTTTGATGTTCAAGAATATCTGTAAGCACCTAAGCACCTTTCATCTTCCTTTATTCTGCTGGGAAACTACTTATAAGACCTTATATTATAGAAAAAGAATTCTACATGTTTATAAACATCATCATTTGAGCCTAGTTATATTTGTTTCAGCAGTTGCTCCTATAATACTTTGTTTATGATTGTATGACTATCTTAAGCGCGTTATATTGTTCATCAAGTTTAAAATTAAAAAGAGAAGTTAACAGCTATCTTTTTTTTCCTCTATCATTCTGATACACCAGATATCAAACCGGAGAATCTCTTAATAAGCCACAATGATGTTCTGAAGTTGTGTGACTTTGGTAAGTTCAATAGCTAGATATATGTTTCTTACTTTTTTAAAAAAAGAAAATCTCAGTGTAATCTTTGCAGTGCAATTCTGCCTTATTCTTACGAGAGTTATACAGTGTATGCTGTTTAAATTAATTTTAGTGCTCAGAATTGATTACTCATTCAGGTTTGTTGCTTTAAGTTGAAAGATCTCTGACCTTTCATGTGCATATCTTGTGAAACACCATTGTTAATACATTCATTCTATTTACATGTTACTTCTTATATTCTACAGTTTTTACTAGCACTGTTATTGGCATTCGGTTAAGAAAAGCTCAGATGATAATTTGATTAGAAGGCTAGAGGAACTGTAGATTTATCTAGTCTGCACATTAAAAAAAAAAAAAGTGTTCTTTGTTTAGTAAAGACATAATACAATTCTTAAACTTTTTGTATACTTCTTTAAAACATTGGCTCTTATGGACTTATGTGTGTCTTCATTTGTATATATCAACTTGTATAACTGTGTTAATCAAGGAATCATGTGTGATCATATGATTAATGACTGAACAGCTGGAGAATAAAGTCAGCGTTGTATGCGCAATCTTAATTTTGTTATTTCCTGACTTATGAATGCCTGTTTAATGCCAGCTTTAAGGCTTTGAAAAATCGGCACCTAAGCACAAGATAAACTATGCCCATGTGAGTAATCCTCAGAAGACAACAGGGCAGAGTATGCACCATTTCCAATGACCTGTAGTTTTGTTCTAAATGCTACATAAACACAGAATAAAATATTGTCTCTAAAAAGCCTACAGTTTGACTGGGTAAATAAAAACCAATTCCAGAGCGCTATGCAAGGGCACTTTCACAGAGAGCTGTTTTCCTGAAAGCTGCCATTTCAGACCTCTGCAATTTTGAATGGAAAGTGGAGCTGCTGGAAAAAAAAATAAATTGCAATAACTTTTAGTAATACAAAAACAGTATTCATTTGCAGGGCTTCTTATTTCTTTTAATCCTAAACACATTTTTGCTTAAGCGTTGAGGAACAATGACCTTTCTAGGAAAAGCCTGCAAATTTTCAGTCCGTATGAGTTCTTTGAATTAAGCTGCCATTTATTTCGCAGTGTACAGAACTATGAAGCTGTAATAAAATACAATGGTGCTGTTGCAGGGAGCTCGGTAGGTGCCTTAGCCTTTTCTGGTGCTAGGGGCCTTCTGTCTGCAACTCTGCAGGTGCTTTCCCCTGGCAGCTCTGGCCCCCGCCCCGGCGGCGCGGGGGCAGTATTCTGCCCTTGTGCCACCACGGCTGGTCCCTCAGGGGGGCAGGGCCAGCGGCCTGCGCCTGCCCCTTGCGTGTTGCATGGGAGAGCCAAGAGTGGCAGGCACGGAGTTTGACAACCAATCAGCAGGCAGCACCTGCCACTGACCAGCCCCTGCTCCAATCAGGGCCAGCGGCATCACAAGCGCCAACAGCCGGTAGGGGTGCAAGCGGGTCCTGCTGGAGAGGAGGGCGTGGCCGCTCCCCGGGGACCCCGTTGCCTCCTTTCCCTGCTGGCCCCTGCGGAGGGAGAGTCTGCCCTTTCCTTTCTCCCTCCCTCCCAGTTATGACTTCTAGCAGCAATGATGAGGTTCGGTTTAGTTTGTAAGCTTGCTAATCCCATACGCTGTAGCCAGATTTTCTTTCTACTGTGAGGAAAGAAATTCAGTCCCAGTGTACTGCCAGTGCCCAGAAGAAGGTGGTGAATTAAGTTGTGAGAACTTGTGTTGTCGTTATCGTTTACGTAGGTTACTTTGAGCTGTACTTCACCTTTCAGATTTGATTAAATTTAAAATTCCAAGCAACTTTTATAATTTGGGATCAATTTGTAACTTTTTAGCCTTCCTGCTAATTGACATCATTGTAAATAGCTTAAGTTACTACTGCAACAATACCTGTCGGAAGGGAATTAACCACAAGAATTTCTTGCACATGTGTAGCTTTGCGTATCAGAGTTTGACTTTTAGAATGATACAACACATGCTACCTGATTACCCAACTTATTTCATGTTTTGGAACACAGGTACTTGTCACATATCATACCACGTTCCTCATGTGACGACAACAAATGCGAACAAAGAGTCTTTATGTCCATCCTAATTAAAGTAACTGGGTGTTTCACAGTTCACCCAGCGGACAAAATAATTTGAAAAGAAAAATTTCAGAACTCTTAACAAGTTCTTTATAGTCTTTGTGCTGTGTTCTGTACGTAGCGTACTAGATGAAAATGAGTTTGAATGTGGTGCTTGCTTGGGCACATGCTGTGTGGGTGTAGTTTCTGCCAATAGAAATGGAAAAAGGAAACAGTACAAGATGCCGACTGCAGCAGATGCATCTGACTGTTGGAAATAGTTAAGTGTTCTGACTAGTATGTTTGCTGTTTCAGCACCAGTGCTTCAGAATTACTTGCTCTAATAATCTCTTAATCTCTGTATGATGTGTAAGCATAGAAGTCATGAAACACGCCACTGGAAAAGACCTCAAGAAATTCTCTAGTTCTTCCTCCTACTCAAAGAAAGGATTAGGCATCTCTGTCATTCTTGACTGATGTTTCCTTAGTTTATTCTTTAAAATCTTAGTAATGGGGGTTCTGTAGCATTGCTAGGCACTTAGTTAACTGCTTAAATGCCATTAATGTTAGAATGCTTTACCCTATCTAACTTAAATTTGCCTTGTTTCTATAAAAGAAACTGACAGTCTTCTGAACTCCCTTTTCCCTGAACACCTTTTTCCTTGACATCTCTTGACATCTCTCCCCTTGCTATGAGTTTCCTCATGTGCTTTCTTGAAATCTGTTATTTTATTTTGCTTATTCCTCCCTCCTTACATTCTGACACATTTTGCAAACTCTTATTTTTGTAGTTGCTCTCAGCTGAATCGCCTTCCATCTTCATTCTCTGATCTAGCTCTTTCCTGCTGCTTAGAGTTCAGTCTTCTCCCTAGTTACCTCCTCTTATTTTCATATCAAAACAGTGTTCCCAATACCGCAGCACAACTTGGAGGAAGGAGCAATAGTGTTCTGAGCTAGCTCTGCCACCATAGAAAATAAGTAATTGTGTCCTTAGAAAGGTGTTATGCTATCTTGAATTATAGATTCTGTCCATCATCTTTCAGCATAGTAACATGGAATCAAAGCAGCAGTGAAATGGTTTCTTACATCAGCCAGCAATACATATTTTTTCTTTTTGTCTTGCCACATCAAATCCATGCTGCACCTTATCTGTAAAGGTAGGAGGCTGATCCTTTTTAGGCCTGCATTAGCTGCTGATGTTATTTGTAGCTCCTGCTTGTGGCCAGGTTCCAATGGGCTGGCCTGGAGGGAGGGTGTATCCTGACTTTTGCTGGGGGCAGAATTGCTGGCAGGCTGCTAGGTTATGCCTTACCATTAGCACACAGGCTGCCAGGTGTGCTCATTTGGATCATGTGACTTCTCTCTCCTCATTCACTTTGGGGCTTCCTCCTCTTCATTTTGGATATCCACTCTCTTCAGTGTGGCTCCTGGTTATTTTCTTCCCTCTCTTCTCTGATAGATGAATGAGGGATTTTTTTTCACTGACGGTATTAATCAGATGTCTCATGTAATTTAAAACAGAAGCAGTACTACCTAAGCAATTCTCCGTATAGTAATGCTTATAATCACAATGTTAGTCTTCAGTAATAAAAAAAATCCTTTCAGACTTTTCTCCATCAGCATCAGTAATGTTCAGTAGACTTTATGGGGACATATTAGAATTATTCCTATTTGGGGACAATATTGAAATATCTGTTCCTTATTGTACCTGCCTTTTAGATTACTAGCACTTGAAGGCAGAGGTATCTTACTTATGAGAAGTAACAACTGTAACAGATATCAATACAAAACTTTTCATTGTTTTCTCAAATCACTAGTCTATTAGCAATCTCTGCATCCGAACTTTTACTTCAACATTGAGGGAATTAGTGTACCACAGCAGTCAGTTAACTGGGCTCCTTCAGACTAAGCTGTCAAATGAGATCTGCTTTCAGAATTAAAAAAAGAAACACAATCTTACAACCATAGTTGTGTGGGAAGAACACTCTTGGCAATTTCTGCATAAGAACTCAGAAATAAAACAAGAAATGACTGTTGTGTTTAAGTAGCACTTGCTGATTCTGAAAATGAAATTATGCTTTATACCTCTACAGGACTCTAGAATTTTTATTTGTTCTTCTTCACTTATGAAATAATGGAAAGACTCCCAATGATTTAATTGAAGTGAATTTTGGATCAAGTTTTAGTGCCACATCCCAGTAAAAAAAGCACTTTGAAAATGTTGCTTCTGCATTTCAGCCCCCAAAATTTACCTCAGTTTGAGTTCCAGTAAGGAACGTGCACATCCAGAGCACTCTCTGCCCTCATTTTCACCTTATTATTAGCTATTTGAAAACAGCAGGATCTGTGGTACTTTTCTAAAAATAATGACAGCATCTGCCCTGTAGTACTTCTAAGTGAAGAATCTAATAACATCCTCCCTGTGGTGTTCAGCTGACTTTATAAATTGAGAATAGAGGGAATGAAAACAAAATCTAAATTATTCCTACCTCTCGATTTTCCAGTATATGCCTTCTTCCCTGTGTCAGTCTTCTCAATTTTATGCATTAAGACAAAAGTTAGGCTCTGGTACATTTGTAAATAAGTAGGTAACGGTTGGTTCTTAACAAAATGGCGCGGAGGAGGAAGTTGCTTTAGATTTGGATTCTCATTGTAAATTCATTGACGGCCTTGCTTTGAACGGATGGTAGGCAGACAGGAAGCTCATACTGGTGAAGTGAGCTAAATGCAAATGTAAAGCAGTTTTGCCGATCTTCAGCAGACTCGTGCCTTTTGCAGTTGTGGGGAAAGGATCGCGTTCTTTGCTGGGTAAGCTGGACAGTTAAAATCAGAGAGCGAGGGTCCTCAGACAAGAATAATACGTAGTTTGTTGACCAATTGAAAAATTGAATGTGATGTGACTGTAGTAGCTAGGATCAACAACTGAAGAGTCTGCTCGACAGGCATATGTTAAGTTTCCACTCTTATGAATTATCTTCTGCAAAAAGCATCTTACAATGAAATTTAGTGGCTACGTTTCAATAGCCTTTCCGGCATACTAACAAGTAACTTCTATCAGTCCGTTTCCATGATGGCAGAGCACGAAAAGTCATAGCAAAACACCATAGACTTCTGAGGTCAGTGCACAAGTAAACTTGTCATTAAAGCAGGCGTGCTGATATTCCGTGTTACATCAATAAAAGCTTGTGTTTCAGCAAACGCTTGCAATCCTTGGAGACATCATAGTGCACTAGGGGATGTAAATTGTTTCTATTTAAGTAGGTGTGATCTCTTACTGCCGAAACCAGTAGTGAAATGCATGTTTATTGAAAATAGGATATAATCCTTCACATTAATTATTTCTTTGACAGGCTTTGCTCGTAATCTCTCCGAAGGAAGCAATGCTAACTATACAGAATATGTGGCTACCAGATGGTACCGCTCTCCTGAACTCTTACTGGGGTAAGTACAGGTTCTAGAACAGCCATGACACACACATTTTGGCTAATTCTTTCCATTTTATCAAGCACCTTTTGTGATATTTACCTATGGGAAACTGTAAGTGTACCCTTTAAGTCGATTAAAGAAACTTTCAGATTTGTAAGTATTTAGGTTCGTTTCCAGTAAATTGACATGAATCATAGATGTGTTGACCTGTCTTGAACTGAACAGTGCTTAACTGACTAAAACGTAACACCAAATTATCACAAATGTACTTCAACTCCCTTCAAAATATGTTTGTAGGACAATCCTATAGGCTGAAGCGTTCCATCAGCCTCGTGGTGAATATTGCTTAGCAATGGCCGTGCAGGCTTTGCCATGCCACTCCTAATTCTCTTATCCTTTGGGTAAAAACTGCAATTCAGTGTTCATTCTCAGTTAACCTTTGTCAGTATTTTATTACAGTGGGGCAAATTTTGATTTTGTGGTGATTCTGTTTATGGAAGGACTGCAGGTTCCCATGGGAGATTCTGAAAGGCAAACAGTTCTTGGAACGTTGGCATCCTGCTTCAGCTTTCCTAGCTGCCTTTGGTCTGGCAGCAGGCGTCTCCATAGGCCTATGATTTTACTCTGGCTTTTGTCCAGCTAGAAACTAGCTTTCTCACCTTAACCCAACCAACAGATCACCAGGGTTTCAGGGTCCCCTCTGCAAGTGCACTCCCTATAGAGAGACATAACTAATCATGAGTAATCAATAGGGAAAAGGCAGATTCTTTCTTCTGTCTAAGGGCGTTCTCTCTCTAGACATCTTTTAACCATCAGCATATGGAAGAAGCGAGGGGGTTAGATTTAGGATTGGATTTGTCACCTGCAACTCCAGGTGTTGCCACATTCCAGAAATATGCAAGGCGCAGCTATAACTTTAAAATCTCTTGAAACAGAAGTTGAGGGCAAGTTTCAAAAAGAGAATCAATAAAGTATGTTTTCTATTCAGCCTTCATTCCAGTATTTATTCTTTTTATATGCTTATTCTTTCACCTCAGAAGAATTCTCCCATAATTCTGCTCAAAATCTAAACATCCAAAAAAAGATTCTTGGAATAAGTTGAATGTTTACAAAACAATTAAAATCCAGCAAGCAAGAACTCGGGCATACAGAAAAGGAATTGTTTCGGTGTACAGCAGGAGCCCTTAAAAGCCAAAAACATGTAATGTGTTAGCTGTGTGTGACTGAGGTGTGCTATTAAAGAAACGCACCAAGAAACAGAACCTTAGAGTGAAAATCAGAGACTGTCCACGAGGGATTCTGTACTTCTTCAACGTCCATGCCTTGAGATAGAGTGTTGCCATAGCATACCACCCTCTCCTTTTCATATAAATTTCCATTCTCTGTATTCCAATTTTCTACCCTACCTGCCTTGCAAACCATCCTCAAGCTTGTAATCTTTCCTGACTGTAGCAGTCCGTAGTGCTGTACTTCCATACTATCTTCCCAAGAAAAGCTGGCATAGCCTTTTCCGCTCTTAACATTCACAGCACTTGCTTTTATATCAAACAAGGACTCCCTCCACCTCCTCACTGCTGACCTAGCATCTTCCATTGTCAGTAGTTTGAAATACCAAGTGCCATTCTCCCTGCTACGTTGCCTGCATACACAAAGACCACCCATCAAAATTTCTCCCCAAGGCCCCACTCCATGGCTTTGCTCCAGTACAAGAATGATCTATTTTATGATGCTTTCATTGCGTTCTGACCTGTATTTTTCAAATCACGAGTATTTTCAGAGGCATTCTCTTTTCCCTGTAATTAAAATTCCACTGTATGAATGCTGAATGCTAAAACAAAGATTGCTTATCATTTCTGTTCTCTCAGTCACCAAATTCAGTATGCTGGTCCACATATTAAGCACAATGGAAAAATAAATGCAACACAGAAATACAACACAGTCATTAACCCCTGATGAGAACAGAAGTTAGTGCTAATTTAACTTTAAATGATAACTACTTCTAAATTGAAAAGGTATTCTTGTAGGTAAATTTTTCACAAGAGGTAACCAAATCCCAGGGGGTAGGTGGGAATTCCAGCCCTGTCTTTTCACACAGGAGTACATCAGATAATCCAGTGTAGAAACAGAAGACTTTGTATTTGAAGTCTGTTCTTTAATATCAAAGTTTACTTTTCTGTGTTGCAAGAAAGCAGGCCGTAGAAAATATGGCCAATAAACTCAAGTTTGCTTTTCAGAGCCCCCTATGGAAAGGCAGTGGATATGTGGTCAGTAGGCTGCATTTTGGGGGAGCTGAGTGACGGGCAGCCTTTGTTTCCTGGCGAGAGCGAGATTGACCAGCTCTTTACCATTCAGAAGGTGCTAGGCCCTCTGCCAGCCGAGCAGATGAAGCTCTTCTACAGCAACCCTCGCTTCCACGGCTTGCGGGTAAGAGAAAGCTTTGTTCTTTTTTTGATTTGTTCACACAATTGGCATTGATACCATGAAGATTCTTTTCATTTAAACTGTGTATAGTGTTATCTGTTGCATGCATTTCTTTGTAAATAGGCTATTTAGATGATAAGACCTTTGTAATTCATCAGTAGAATTCTGGTTATACCTCTGTTTCAGTTGTATAAGTATGTTTATTTTACTGTTAAAAATTGACTGTAAATTTACTTTCATTTCTTTGACTCTTCTGGCATGCAGGTTAGCATTTGTACCCAGCTTAGCATTACTCTGCCACAATTGCTCTATGAAGTTTCGTAGCATAGCTGTGTCAGTTCATCATAAAATGTGAAAAATTCATGCCCGCTTTCTAAGGCTGCTGTGCCAGCAAGTCTGGGCCAAGGGTGCTGCTATAATGACAGAAAAGCTTTCTGCCGTTTGGCTTACGTTATTAGGTGAGCTGGCGTAAACTACGTGATGAAAAAAAAAGAAAGCAGTGGGTTGGGGCATATCTTCTATTCTATGTGCATTCTAACAGAAAATAGTTTTACGATACTTAATTGAAGTCAGAATAATAGCTTAAACGTGAAAAATACTACAAAAACGTTAGTTCAAATTGACATTCGTTAGTTGATTCATGGGAAAATTTTGTTCCATGCCTGAAGACAGGATTAAAAAGTAAATTTTTTTGAATGTAACTTAGTGCTTAATACTCAACGGTGTTCTCATGCATAGCAGATAGGAGATATACTACGTATGCTGTGGCCATGCAAATGTTGCTTATAAGCTGGATCTGATGTTGACTGTGCTTAAGATAGAAACCAGCCCATGAATTGTGTATCCATAGGTTTATGTCTAGACTTTGTGAATCCCTACATTACCATTACTGTGATTACTACCCTTGTAGCACAGGATTTAAAAAATTTTAGTTCAAATACACTACATATGCGCTACATATACATGTATACAGATACACGTTTGCATGCTTTCCCTCTTCTCTCTTTCCTAATTTCCCCCCTGCATATATACGTACAATTTTTCCCTCTTCTGAGAATGAGAGAGTATTTAGTGGTCCACCTTTCTGTCCTTTGGAGGCAGAGGGCATCCATGCATTTTGAAGACCCTAGGACATAAAATAATACAGGATTTAAAAGTATTAATAGTCTCAGACCTTTATGGAAATCATGGCTGGTAGAGTAGAGCTATAAATATTATTCTACAAATAAGTTATAGGTAAACTGGTGAATCTGAACAATCCCAGTGGATAGCAATCTCATAGAACAGCTTTGCATGGCTTTGGCACGTCCTCCTGTTTCCCTTATCATTCCAGATGTAAGATCTTCTTTATAATGGTCATGCTACAAGAAGACAAAAATATTACCCTCTTGGATAGGTCAAAGAGGAGCTTGATAAGAAGGGCTAAATGCTTTGGGTTTGTGTAGAGGAATATTCCACTTTCAACAAGTTACAGCATCTACTGAAAACCCACTTGCTCATGCAAGCTGGTGAGAGAAGCGTGGAAAACTTGGTTCACTTAAGATGCTGTGTAAGGTCAACATAGTAGTCTTGGACTTGAAAAATAGCTCAATCACTAGTAAACCACTTTAAAAGAATGCAAAGTAAAAAGAAGATAAGTAGCACAGAGACTATGTAAGAACAAGCATATTCAAACTAATCTTCTTTCGTTTTCCTTCAAAGCTCACATAATGTAGTTTATGAAAAGTAATGCCAGTACAAACAATGGGAGGTGATTCATGATAGAGAATCTAATGCTTCTACATGTGTTCACAGTGCACGTGGAATGCATTTTACTTCCCCCCAAAAAAAAAAAAATCTTTTGGAAATGGATGTTGGTACTGGGCTACTCGTTAAAACATAGATCTGAAGCTCGTATTTACTGTGAGGAAGGTGTATATGTAAATATATGCACCTAGCTGTAGAGAAAGTTCCCTAGATGTAAGCGAGAGTTGGGAAGATGTGGCAGATGTAAGTGAGAACAGGTGAAAGTGATGTGGGAAGGATCTTTGACTTCCTGCTCTTTGACACTGTAGTCCAAACATAGTTGTCATATATTTTTTATACTATAGCAAACTTCTGCTTGCAATGTTGCCTTCATATTTGTCAGTTTTTTGTTGTCTGCTGTCTTAATCAGTGATCTAAATTTTCTTGTTTTCTTATATTTTCAGCTATTTTAAATATAGCTCAATATTTTATGTGGGTGTATTTTATGTGTGACTCAAGCCCATTTGGACATACGGTGATGGCTTTTATGCACTGGGGTAAATGTGAGTGCCAGAAGACAAGAATGCTGCATGTTCCCTGTTGTCAGTATTATTGCTTTCATGTGTTAGCTCAAGAGGATTTTTTTAGAAAATACATAGTTGGAATGTTGATGAGATGAAACCAGGCCACAATGAAGAACTTGTGTCTATTATGAAAATTGCACAACTCTAGGAACTGTAAACAAAGTGTCTGGATGCACTGCTCTTTTCCCACAGAAAAAAGTGCATTTCCTTTGTTTTGAAAAATAATTTTAAGGGCTGTAAACTACACTCACAGGCTCACCGTAGTGGATTCATCTGCAAATATCTAGATGCATAAAATACAGCTAAGAGGATTTGTCATGTGCTATTCTAGAGATTATTACAAACCTCTTAATCTCAGTTGTATAATTTTGGATAAATTATGATTAATGTCAATAGACTCTTCTCTTCTCTTTTTTTTTTTTTCTTTTTTTTTTTTTTCACCCTCCTCCAAAAGCTACTTTGGTATTGAAATGCCTGGTTTTCTCTAAAATCAGCATCAGTTAGAATCCATGAATTTTTTTAGTTTTTTTTTTCTTTTTGTCCCTCTTGGAATTCCAGCCTTAATTTCTAACTCTGAAAACACCAACATATATATTTAGTATTTAGATTTCAAACTTCACTGAAATCTGTTTGTTTTGTTTGTTGTCAGCTGAATGCATGCCATGCCCTGGGATTCGATCTTTGTTGTCTCTTTTCAACTCATTGCACTTGACGTTATGGTACTGCAATTAAATGTTGAACAATTTTTCTTTCATTTGATTAAAAGGAAGAAAAGGTTCTGTTTTCATTTCGTTTGTCTATTGTGCTTGTTTACACGTCAAGCAAGATCAGTTGTTGGCAAATCTCAGTAATCTGGAGGGGCTCAAATTGATAAAAATAGATGTTCTGCATATGTTGGATGTCTTGTGCTAGTTGAAGTGCTATCTTGTCTTCGTAACTGAGAAGACTTCTCCAATCAGTTCTTCTAAATCAGTGGTGTATCTAAGTCTGCTTGTTCTGTCTAGCTTCTCTTTTTAATGTACCAGTGAGTTTCAGTGAGTTTATTCTTTCTTGTCTTTCTTTATACTGCTTCTTTTACCATTGCTGTTAACTAAAGGAGTCTTTAGTCTAGTCAAAAGGTGTGGCTATGGACCAGGGATTTGTGATCCGGTGTCAGAGTACCTAACTTTGTCAGAGGGAATTTTTAATCCAGTGTAATGTTTTCTCCTCACTTACCTGTCTAACTAAAACAAAATTGGCTATATGTGGCACCATGGACTTGCTGGATATTTTTTGTAACCTCAAAGGAGCAAGCGGTTTACATTAGAATGTCCTGTATTGTTGGAAATGATTGCATTAATATTGATATGAAAAATGCAATGATTCAAATTTAGGGGAGGATAAAGCTGTGAGAATATACACTGTACTTTATAGCATTCATTAGATTTTCTGCAACTCTGCTTGTTCTGGCTATTCAGCTAATGACTTTCCTGAATCGTTTTAAAGTTATTTTTATATCCCTTCTTTGGAAAGTCCAGCCATATTTCTGTATCGAAAAAGATCTGGCGAGCCTTCATGAAATCTTAAAGTACGAATATCCCACCTTTAAGTTCCAGAAGACAACGATGAGAATCTAAAATAAAAACAAACAACAAAAATCAACAAAAGTAATTCTGTACTTTTTTTCCTTCCTCAAGTCATGCCTGCCTGTCGTCTTTCCGCACAGTTAGGGCTAGTTTCAAATACTGCCTTCATCTGGTTTTGTGAAGACTGTAGCTGACAAAGATGCCCTCCAGCAGTGTGTAGTAATTCTCATGGTGTTGCCGGTTCTTACTGCAGCTCGACCAAAGGAGTAATGTTGAACCTTAAATCTCTGAACAGTTGCGATGCTGTTTTCTTGAAGTTTTTCCCTAAAAACATTTTGAAATTGTAGGTTGATCATTGATGTTTAGTTAATACTATATATGCACAACAATGAAATCATCTTAAAGCTATTTTTAATCCTCTCACGGGGGTGGAATATTACTTGTATTAATTCTTGATCTCTTTTAGGCTACCCACCTTTTGTCAGTCATAATGCCACAAACGTATTTATAAATCTAACTTGATTATTTTTCATCTGTGAGAAATTCTGCTGACTGTCCTACTAATCAAGAATACTTTCCTTGCTGGACTAGATGCGTATGGTACCTCCATTATTTGTTTCACCATAGTGCTTCAGAAAGCACTGTCACTCTTTCAGCACACAAGATTCTACATGATTCCCATTAAGTTACATGCCTTTACTCACTGTATAGTTTCTGTTTTTTTAAAGGTTGCATTCATGTATACCTTGTTTACCTTCTCAGTGTATTTATACTAAGTTACTTTCACAGTTCCCTGCAGTCAATCATCCACAGTCTTTGGAGAGAAGATACTTGGGAATTTTAAGTGGTGTGTTGCTTGACCTGATGAAGGTAGGAAATTATATTTCTTTTCTGCCTG